CCTTTATAAAGTAGGGATGGTAACTGGACTGACCTTGTAGGGTAATTTCAAGATTTCAATGTGGCAGTGTTCTCAGAAGACCTCAGAATATACATTATCTGACAGAATAAATGCGCAGTGGCTTCTGTGATTATTTTCTTCATAATCATCTATATCTACACTAATGGGTTTGTTAGTAGCCGGGTACTAGATTAGTCCTGTCTTGCAGGCTCTCTCTGTGACTTGGAGCCACCCCCAGCCCGAGTATCACTCTGGGCAGCCGGGTGACAAGACCCCTCTCCTTTTCAGTTTCCGTAGCTACCTGGCTGGCGTGTGAGTGACGCCTGCGTGAGTCACAGGTGGGGCAGCAATCCTCTGCACAGATTGGGTTCCCATCTCATCTCTGGCCCCTTAGCAGCTCTTGCTAGGTATAAGTTATGGGTAGACTGTCCATTTGTCCCGTGATTGTTGTCACTGCCGAAGTTACCCAGGTTGGCAGACACGGCCTGGTAGAGCAGAAAGAGCCCCACTGGGGGTCCAAGGCTCTGGTTTCCTGGCTCTGGCCGGCCACTAAATAGCTGTGTGACATTCGGCGAGTTGCCTCGCCTCTCTGGGCCCTCCTTTGGAAAATGAAGGATTTGAACTGGATAGTCTGTAAACTTCCTTGAACCCTCGCCGTACCCAACGCAAATGTCTGAATGCTCTTGTTCCTTCCTAAGACGCATTATGGGCTGGAGTGGAAGTTGAGTCAGATGGCAGCCTCACCGATGACGGACCTCCTACCCCCCCTCCTTTGTTGATGACACTGGAACACCGACACGTTTCCGAGTGCTTCGCAGTCACCGCTGGCCCCGGGCCGGTCTCTAATGGTCACTTGTCAAATTCATTCATGAGCAGCCTTTTAAAATTCTCTCTACAGAGCTGTTTCCATGAAAGCCGTTAGTGTCCATGAGTCATGAAGGTATTTAACATTTTCCTGTGTTGCATCTTATAGCTCAAACCCAGCTCTGCGAACATTTTCCTCTTTGGTACTATTCCAAGCTGAGCCTCAGCTCTCCGGTTTGCTGACTGGTCTTCTCTGCTGTGAGAAAACCACCATGTGACTTGTGCATACCAGGGGGCCTGTGAGTGCAGGGCCCGTGTTCAAATCATGTATTACTACCAGGGCCTGGGTCGTTTGTTAGAGTTTGAAGATAAAACTTTGTTGCTTGTGCCAAAGATTTCTAGGTGTCATCTTTTCTACGATGGTGAGAACCAGGTAGCCAGCTCTCTTTGGGATTGCTAAATTGGCTTCTGATTTTAGAGGTCACGTGTCCTGTTATGACATTGGGAAGCGATCTCAGAGTTAAGCCCCCTCAGTTAGACATGTGGGTAAGCTCTTGGATGCCTCTTGTGTTTCTATGGCCTAGTCTAGTGCCTGACACCCTCTCCTTTGCTAGGAATCTTCCCTAGCAAACCTTTGACAAATCACTCTCTCTCTTCCCTACGTTCCCATAGCACATTATACCTCTGTCACTTGTCACAGCCTATGTTGTATTGGAGCTTGTAATGAACGTGTCTGTTTTCCAGACTGAATGGCAACCCCTGATTTTGGTGTTGGCCCCCTTCCCTCCAGAACTTAGCCTCCAGGAGGTACTTCATCAATGTTTCATGGACTATATCCTGCCAGTGAGGGTGCAATAGGATGCTCCCACTCCTTGTGTGCACCTGCCTGGTTCTTCCTTCTGTATGTAGTTTTAGAAAATGTTTTATGAAATGCCTTACGAGGAGGCCATGAGCTTTAAGTTTCTTTAGGAAGCCCCAAAAGTTCAGTTCCTTGGGCTTGATAGTAGTAAAATGGGCTATGAGCGGCTAGAAAGAAGTTGAGGGATATTTGACCTGTCTACACTGGCCTGTGATAGTCACTTCTATCAGGTTTGCAGAATAGCCCAGCTGTGTAGAGGGTAAGATGTGTTATCATTTAGATTTAGATTTGGCTGAACGTAACAGAAAACCCCCAGATAACACTGCCTTAAACTTGAGACTTTATTTTTTCTGTCATGTAAAAAGTCAGGAGGTAGACAGTCCAGGACAGGGACCTAACTTACTGTTCCCCCATCCTTAGAGAGCTGCCTCATGATCCAAAGTGGCTGTTGAAGCACCAGCCATTGTATTAATATCACAGATGGAAAGACAAAGGAGCCCTCCTGGAAGTCTCACTCAATGCTCATTTACATCTCATTAGCTGGAAGTTAGTAACAGGGGCACTAGCTATAGTGTCAGCTGGGAAGTAGGGTCTTTAGCTGGCACATTCCCTCACCCTGAGACATAAAGGTTCTATTACCAAGAAAGATGGGGAGAATAGACTGAGTGGGTGCAGGACAGATGCCCAACACTTACTTGAATGAATGAATGAATGATGGAGAGATGCCACCTGGGTTACGTGTGGGAGAGCGAACCCTCACATTAGTAGGATCCGTGATATGACAAGGCAGGCATGTTTCTGATACCATCCCACAGGATGGACGGAACCTTGAGGAAACTTCAGAAACTCACCAGGAACTTGACAGAGAGCGTGGTGTTCTGCAAGGCCACTTCAGATGGCTTCCTCTTTTGTGCCTTTGTAGAGACCTGCTTCCCTGATTTGGAACTCATCAGGTGCCTGGTAGCAGGTGCGGAGTCTTCGGCCTGGGGACAGCAGCCACGTTTTAGAAAGTCCCCACGAGAGCTTCTCTTTTTTTGTTTGAAGAAAAGCTTCATTCAAGCAGGGAGATCTGGGGGAAGAGAGTCTACCCTTAAATGTTGCTGAATTGAAATATTAAAATTTCCTAAAAACAAAAACCAAAAACAAATCCCATTTTAGGAAATATTCGACTCTTGCAGGATTAATTATCTGCTGGTGTTGGTTTGAAACCTGTAGGTAATCTGTGGTGCGGGGTGGGGACAGCTTTTAAGTGACAGGTCCCCATGCTTCTGCCCTTTCCCTGCAGCAAGTCTGGGCAGATGGAGGGCCCCACAGGGCTGTCCGCACGAGGGAGAACTCAGCTGGGCCGGGCGGCACGGGGTCTGGAGAGTGAGTCATGTTGCTGAGAGCACGTTGCGCTGTGGTGTCACTTCTCGGTGGGTTGCTCAGTTCTGTGGAGGGCGGGCCCCATGTCACCACTGTGTAGCTGAGGCCCCTGAGTGGACGTGTGGTCCCAGGGCACTCAGCAAGGCAGGTCCCTGGGCCACTTAGGTTAAAGCTTTCATTCAAGGCTACCACTCTGGATTCCTTTTTAAAACTTTGATGGGAAACTTTGTCAAGTCTCCTACAGACCCTATGAGTTTCATAATGCTGCTTCTTCCTGGCCCCCATCAACCCCGCATTTTCAAATCATCCTCATCCTTCATCCTCGGTTCAGGATCATCCTCCTTTAAGAAGCCATCTTCGCTTCCTTCTGCTGGAAGTAATGTCTCCTCCACATCCCCTTACAAGATAGATCTCCCTCCCTCCCATGGCACTCTTTTGTATGGCTGTGTATGATAGACTTCTGAATGTCCACTCCATGCCCCTTTCAGCCCCCTGACCAAATTGTCAGCGCCCAGAGGGTCAGGTCTGGTATGTGGTACTTGTTCACTGTTCCCTGAATGATGGAGGGTGGCACCCAGGGGGTCACAGAGCTGTTCCTTGCCCTGGGGGCTGGTGTGCTCATTTTGGCTCCAAGTCTCATTTTGTTCCTCTAACTGTCTTTGAAAAGTGTCCTCAGCCTGTGGTTTCTGAAGACTTCCTCTAAGTCATATGAGACTCACTCTGGGGATGGGTGGGGGCCCCCTTGTTGCCCTCCCCCGCTGCGTCCCAGGGGCTGCCCCATGGTGTCCCCAGGCTTACGTAACTGACAAGGGGTTCTGGTTAACCGAGGGTGGGCGGGCAGGATGCTGCAGCAGGCCAGCCTTTGGCAATGGCTCACTCGTACTCTGGTGGGGAATTCAAGGAGGGCATTCAGAGCAGCAACTGGAGGGTTTTGTTGCTGATTTCTGATGCAATTACATGACCCACTCTTGGGGGAGGTATGTTTACTCTCTGAAAGGGATAGAATGTGAATCAACTATGTAATTTAAAATTTTCTAGTAGTCCCAGTAAAAAAGTAAAAAGAAACAGGTGAAATTAATTTTAATAAGATATCTTATTTAACCCAGTATATCTAAAATATTATTTCATCATATAATCAATATAAAAATTAGTGAGATAATTAACATTCTTTTTTTGTAGTAAGTCTTTAAAATTTGGGATAGTTTGCATTAAATTTGGATTAATGACATTTCAAATGCTCAGTAGCCACATGTGGCTGGTGGTCGTCTAACATACGTTCAGCTACAGTTTGTGTTGATTCTCCCGCTTGATATTCCTTGAGAGCAGGGACTGTGTTGTGGCAATTCCGTCCTTCCCTTCTGTGGCTGGTGTTGGTGAGTGTGAGTTGAGTGGGGGCCTGTCTGGCAGAGTGACAGCCCTGGGGTGGGGCTGGGTACCTGGAGTCTGGTCACAGCCCTGCTGCTCACCAGCTTTCTGAGCCTGGGGAAGGCCCAGGGCTCTCAGAGCCACAGTTCCCGCCTAGTCAATGAAGCTGTTGCACCGTGATCTCTGGGGGCTTTTCTGGTCTGACATGCCGTGAATGGAGCCATGGATCTGGGCAGGGATGGTGTTGGGGACCCCTGTCCACCTTGGCATCGTTAGCAATTGAGAGCTTCTCTGTGAAAGGCCCGGTTGGCCATACCTGTCACACGAGAGGCTAGTTTGCCATCTTTGACTCTGACCGAGAGCTGTCATGTTTATCTGGACCATTGGGTCCCGAACTTTGAAAATCGTCCATTCATCCATCTGGTACCTGTTCACCCATCCAGCACTTACAAGGACCTGCGGGTGCCAGGCCTGTTCGCACAGTGGAAAGGCAGAGATGGCCAGGACGTGTCCCAGCCCTTGGGATGCTCATCTTTTGGAGGGTGTGATGGGCCAGTGGGAGCTCCTGCCACTTCCTGAGGCCTCATGAGGGTTCTTTCTCTCACAGGCTCAGCTTGAAGCTCAGAAAGCCACGCAGGACTTCCAGAGGGCTACGGAGGTGCTCCGTGCCGCCAAGGAAACCATCTCCCTGGCGGAGCAGCGGCTGCTGGAGGATGACAAGCGGCAATTCGACTCGGCCTGGCAGGAGATGCTGAATCACGCCACTCAGAGGGTATGAGTCATAGCTATGTGCGCCCGTGGGGGGTGTGCCTGGGTCTGTGTGCATGTGTCTGTGTCAGCAAGTGTCTGTGTGCGTGTGGGCATCTGCGTCAGGGCAGCATGCGTGCCTGTGGGTGGGGTGTGGGAGCATCCTTCACATCCCCCTTGTCTGTCTCGTCCAGACTCCCTGCTGGTTCTGGTGAGCTCTGTTTGTGCTGGTTTCCCCAAGCAGAGGAAATAGACTCCCAGGCATGTTGCTGAAAAACACTCTCTGAAAGTCACAGGTGGTCATCTCCGTGGGGCATCTTGGCAGGGCCTAGGACTAAGCCATGCTCAGGGATGACAGTCGCCCAGTGACGGTATAGCTGCTCCCTCCCTATGTTGCTTGACGCTTGTCTGGTTCAGACCATCCCTGAAGGTCTTGACTGTGGATTGGGCTTCCCAGAGGGACTGTGTGTTTTCCAGGGCCCATTCCCACTGGGTCCAAGGGGCCTGGCTGGGATTAGAATCCCAGGGAAGAACTTGATTAACAGTCTCAAACCACGCTGGGTCTGGACTCGGGGCACGTGTGCTGTCAGAGGGAAAGCCGGGGCCATGGCAGGTGAGACCAGAATCCAGTGGGCATACAGGCCAGGGCTTCTGGGCTGGGCTGGTATTCGGGGAGCCTGCATGAGGACAGGAAGTGGGCTGAGTATGATCTCCACCCAGCTCTGACTCCTGGGTTTTATGCCATTATTGTTTGGCTCTTTGTCAGCTCCCATGACCTCCTCTCTGACCACTTTGCTCAGAATCAGAAGTGGTGGGACAGCTGCTTAGCTCAGCTGGACTTGTTACCTCCACCTAACTCTACTGGGTTTCCTAGGAGTCATGCAGAACGTTCCAGATACCTCCCCTCTCCTCCAGGCTGATTTGCTGCAGGGTGGTGGGTGAGCCGACATGTGCCTTCAACAGCTTTACCACATTGAGTGATGTAGAGGGGGCAGGGGCTGCAACCCTGGCCTTGACTTCTTGAGAGCCCGTCTGTGGGGCTGGAATAGAAAGTCAGGAGTTAACGTCAGCGGCCTGTCCCTTTTCAATGTCACCTGACACAGTGGCTCAAGTCCTGGGGGACCTGATAATTAAAGATGGCCTTGTGCTTCCTGAAATAGAAAGCCTGACACACAAATGACTTCAAGAGTCAAATCTGCATTGACTTTGTCCCACCTCCCCTGAAGCCTGAGACGCCTGGCCCGGCTTTGTGTGGCCTTGAGCGTCCTGCCCCCTAGTGGACACGATGCTCGGCGAGCCGAACACAGGCTGGAACAGCTTTCCTGGATCAGCTGGTGGAACACCAGCGGAGGTTGGAAATCTTGGAAATTTACAAGCCACAGCCTGACAGATGTGAAAAGGACCAAAAAACGAAAGAGAAAATAAAAATTTAGAGTAGCTCCTTCCAAGAAGTTAGCTGAAGGCTGCCTTTCCTTTTTGCTCTCCCTCAAGCCCATTTGGAGATCCAAATCAGCCTGTAAGAATCATTTCAGAAATCATTTATTCTGATCTTTAAAAAATAGAACATGTTTCTTCTTCTTCCTTTTTTTTTTTTGTTTTTCTATTTTATAAGTCCCAGGGCCCTGGTGGATGGTGGGTGGCCAGTCAAGGGGAGATATCCCCAGGCCCCCCACATCACACAACTCCCGGGAGCACCGTTCACACCGTCGTCTTGGGGAATGGCGCTGCCTGGAGTTGTGCAGTGCACAACTTGAGGGACTGTACAAGATGGCCCTGGGCCTCCTGGGGTCATGTGGGGCTTCTTAGGGGCCCGGGGAAGGTTGTCTGATGTATGTCCTCACTAGCGAAGGGCCTAGACATTTGGGTTTCTTGGTTGTAGGGGTCACCACTGCAGATTGGCAGGTGTTCTGGGTCACAAGGCAGGATTCCCCCCTGGGGCCACCCTTCTTCTTCCACACATTCCTTCGCAGTCGCATAGGCCTGAAGTGCTGCTCCTTGAACTGCTGAGGGAGGAGGAGAGTTCGAAACTGACACCAGCAAGAGACAGAGCTGGTGGCAAAGCTTTCCCCGGCCACCTCCCTGCGTCACTGAGAAGCAGCCTGTGAGGGCAGGTGTGCACACGTGTGGCTTTGCTGTGAGTGTCCCTCTGGGTTTAGCATTTCCCTAAATGGGGCTCCTGTTACCCGCTCCCAGAGCCTTGTGGGCCTGGCACGCTCAGCTTGCTGAATGCTGGTTGATGAAGGTGATGAAGGGTCTAGAATATGTCCCCTGCCTTGTCTGCCTTCTGGATACTCAGGAATCCTGTTTCTTTAGGAGAAGGGAGCTTCGTCTCACCCCCTTCTTCCAGAGACAGCGCTACTTAAGGGTCTAGAGGAAGGTCCGGGGCTGTGTTGAGGAAGGGGCAGGGGTTGGGGCTGCATGATCCCCCACCCCAGGCCCTGTGTAAGAACAAGGGCGTCCCCATATTCCTTGCCCGAGGCCGTCAATGTGTCCCCTTCATTCCCCTCAACTTTTGGTGACCTTGGGTGGCCCCGCTCGGAGCCACGGCTGAAGCCAGTGCACTGGGAAGTGTAAGCGATGCCGGGAGCCCCGTGTCCTCTATCAAGCCACATGCAGTGCTACAGACAGGGACAAAGGAAGAGTTCTTCGCTCAGAGCTGGGGTCAGGGAGGGCTTTGGAAGCCGAAGGTAGCATGAGGCAGAGCTGCCGAGCCTACCTCGAGTGGCCTGGGGAGCGCAGCCCCGAGTCCCTGCTGCTCGCCACTTGGGACTTTAGGCAGCAGAGGCCCCTCCAGCCTCGGCCCTTTTTGCCTTGAAGCAGCCTTCATGGGAAGGTGATAGCTTTTCCTCCCTGGGAGAGGAGGCCTGGCATCCTGGGAGGGAGGAATTGACTTTTGTAACGTCTGCCAAAAGACAGACAGAGGAGGAAATGTGACTTGGAGATGGGGCAGCATCAACTGTTTGTGAGCCCGCAGCAGGCAGCTGCTGGAGAGGAAAGGACGCGGAGGCAGCCCTCCCTCCCTGGGCCTGGCATGGAGACTGCCTGGGTGCCTGGGTCTGAGGCCTGGGACGGCACATGAGGAGCTGTCCAGGCCAGCCTTCCTGACGCCAAGGGGTATGGACTGCCCCTCTCCCACGTGGCGGTGAGAAGCCACCTTCTTGGGCCCCGTCTCCCGGGGAGGCAATAAGAATCAGAAAACAGCCTGAATGAGCTGAGGTTCTGAGGAGACAGTGAAAGTGCCTTCCCCGGGGAAAGGGAGGATCCTGATCTTAGCTCCGGGATGTTGGGGCAGATTTGAGATGTTGGGGATGTAAGCGAGGGTGGAACGGCTCGGGGTTTGGAGAGGAGTTGAGAAAGCTGGAACAGGAGGCGGGGGAGCCATGCTGGGTGGATTCAGTTCCTGTGAATTCAGGTCATTCTGCTGGCGTGGGACCCAGTGAGTCAGCTGTGCCCAGCCCGGCTGGCACACCTGTTCGGTGCCCGTCAGTGTCCAGGCAGGACGTGTCTGTCTGAGTATGTTCTGTGTGCAGCTGTGAGCAGAGGGCCTGGAGCTGAGCAGTGGCCCCAGGGTCTTTGCGCTCTTTGGGACCTAGCTGCCTGCCTGCCCCGGGCTCCCAGGAGGGGCCGGTCAGGCACTTGTGGACCTATACCTCTTTCGGGCCTGGTGGCCTAGGAGGAGGGGCAGAGGCCTGTGGCTTCTCTAGAATCCCGAGCACCGGCAGCTGCCGCCTGCTGCTTTCTCCAGGGCCCGCTGCCCACTTACCTGCCCGGGCGTGGTGCTGCGGCTGTCCTGCGGCGGACTCGTCCAGCGCCGGTTCTGGCTGCTCGGGTCGACTGGGCCTCAAACCCTGCCACTGGGCCCCAGCAGGTGGTCAGTTTGGGGGCAGGCCCAAGGGGCAGGAGTGTGTCTCTGCAGGTTTCGGGAACCCTAGGAATGCCCAATTACTTAGTCCTGTAGGCTGGGGCGGATGCACCCAGAAGTTAACAGAGAGCCTGTGGGACAGGGTCCCCTCTGGGGAGCAAGCTCTAAACCACCATGAGGAAGGCCAAGACTCTGTTCATGTTGGACAATGATTTCCTTCAGGAGCCTTCCAGCTCCGGGAAGGGAAGTGGGATGCTGAGCGCTGCTCCCTGTGTCGTCTCTATGAGTCCTGGTGCTCATCCTATGGAGATGGCGAAGGGGCAATGGACGTGTGGCTAGACCCAAGGGAGAACCACAGCGTGTGCCAAACCCCCTTCAGCCAGAAGTGCTTCCTCCCTTCATATCCATCATCCCAAATACCACACGCTGAGACCCCTCTCCAGGACTGCCTCTGACGTCAAGCCCCCCTGAGCCGCCATGGCCATTCTGACAGCCTGGATCCTCCGCTGCCTTGAATGATGGTCACTGATGCTGGGTGTGTCTATACCCCATGAGGCTGTCAGCCCAGGGTGTGGTCTCCTGTATGCCCTGCACACATAGTAGGTGCTAAATCAGTGTATGCGGCTCTCAATTGCATTCAATTCATCATCACATTTGATGATGGTAAAACTGAAGACCATGGTGCAGAGATGGAGTCCAGACGAAATTGCTGTCAAGCCGAGCTTCGAGGAGGGCGAGGCAGGCCCTGGGAAGCCTGGGGCGATGGCGGTGGGTGCCTTGCCTGGGTCTGAATTGCACATGCTGGGCTGGTTGTTCAGTCAAGCCTGTGGCTGCCTTGAGGCCTTATGGGATTTCCTCATTGTCACTTCCCTGTGGCTTTCCTACATCCCTGTGGCTTCAACCTTCCTGGCAGAGCCACCTGCGCTGCCCTCCTCCCTATCCCCCTTCTTTCTTTCCCCTCCACAGCTGCACACAGCCATGACTGATTCCAGGCTTCCGATGGAGGGGGTCCTTGGTTACTAGGAGACGTAAGGTGACATGCTTGGTGACCTCCCTGCTGGAGGCTGAGTTGGGAGTTGGAGAGGTCTGCCGGAGGTTGTGTGTATGTGGGGTGGGGAAGATTGGGACGGGACATGGTAGACATGGCCTGATGGTAGACATAGACAAGCAGGGGACAGCAACATGCTTGCCGCCTCCTCAGTCTTCACGGGCAGTATTGCCAAGTGTTTGGAGCTTTCTGAGTGTTTAATTTTAGGAAGCCGTTGCTTCTTTTTGCAGACTAGGGGCCAAGATAGAACGAGGGCCCGTGTGCAGCTGGTGAGAACCCTGCTTCTTGCAGGGGCCTCTTTCTGTACAGGAGCCTCAAATCACAGCCTTCATAAATCAGTCTATTTAAAATGCTTTCAGACAGCCCCTTAAAGGTGAACCCTGCGTTGAATCCTTTCCTATTGGAACAGGTCACATCCAGGATGTTGTCTTTGTCTGATAAGCTTGGGGTTTTGAATTTTCTTAAAGGTTACACTAGTAAATCCTTAAAGCCTAAGATTTAAGAGAAGACTATGTCCAAGAGTGGGATGTTTTTAGTGCATTTTATTTCATTGTGACATCTTTGGTGTTAGAAGCAAAGGGAAAGGATTTTCCCAGCCCTTTGGTCTTGGTCGAGAAGTCATTTAGCAAGCACGTCACCTCCTGCCAGCTCAGCTCAGGTCCCTTCTCTGGCTTTGTTTTCATTCTGTTGTTTTTAAAAGTATCTCAAACATTGAAACTTTTGTTAAAAGATATATATTTTAAAGAAGGTAAAAGCATAATTCTAATAAATATAAAATGTTCTCATGTCAAAGATTTTATTTAATTAATTAAGGAGGGAACTAATAAGATGCTACAGCTATTTCAAAGGAGAAATAAAAAAACACCGTCATCTGTAGAAAACCAGGGATGCTGAGATGAATTTACAAACATGCAAAATCGGTCAATATTTACAGGCCAATCAATAATCAGATGCATCTCCACTGGGACACAATCCATCTTCATTTCTAGGGATAAGAATCATTTGTATTACTCTCCGTTTTCTACAGCTTACAGGGTTGTAAAATAGCTCCAAGACAAAGAAAGCCAGAGACAACCTGGAAGGGGACGTGAGACAGGACACCTACTAATTTATTATTATTTTTTTTAATCTTTTTTTTAAAATTGATGTCATAATAGTTTATAACTGTGAAATTTTAGTTGTACATTATTGTCAGTCACCATATAAATGTGTCCCTTCACCCCTTGTGCCCCTTCCCCAACCCCCTTCTCCCCGGTAACTACAAAACTGTTCTCTCTGTCCGTGTGTTAGTTTGTCTTCCACATATGAGTGAAATCATGCGGTGTTAGGACACCCAGTAATTTTTATGCTCATTTCAAAGTCTTTTATAGTTTTTGCTGACACTTGTAAAAATCCTTATTCTAAGTAAGTGCATAAATGAAAAACCCCAGGGCTGACTGTGGCTGTTGCCTGGAGCGGATGGTAGAACCTTGGCAGCCTCCTCCCGAGGCTTCTCTCTTAACCTGGAGTTACAGGCGTGGTGGGGCTTCCCTGAAATTGTTCTGCTGGGTCTGAGAGGGTGGACCCATGACCTGAGGGCCCTCTGGGCTCCTCTCTCATGCTCTTCAGGTAAAACAAAGTGTGGCCCTCTAGCCCAGCCTCGCTCCTGCCTCTCCAGTTCATTTTATAACACTTGCTTGTGAGTTGTAAGGAGAAGATGGGAAAGAAATTGTGAGCGGCTTATATGGCCTAAACTGCTGTTTATTTTCATCATCATCTCTCCTCACGGCAGGCCTTGTTCTGATGTTTTTCTTGAGATAAGAGGGGAGAGAACCAACATTGTCCATGTGTCAGGGAATGCCCCTTTGAGCTGCTGTGTTTTGGCCATTGAGGGCCCTTGTTTGTTTGTTTTTTAACTCATTTTTATCAACAGGCTTAGCAAAATGTTCCCACCAGAACTCTGATTGGTCTCCTGATCACGAATTTTTGTGAACCTCAAAATCTGATATGATTTGATATTAATTTGTTTAAGTGTAAAGTTTGATCCTTCTGGGTCCAGCCTGGTGGCTCAAGTGGTTAAGTGCGCGCACTCCTCTGCGGCGGCCTGGGGTTCACCAGTTCGGATCCCGGGCGCACAGTGACACACTGCAGCTGGTCGAGCCATGCTGTGGCGGCGTCCCATGTAAAGTAGAGGAAGATGGGCACAGATGTTAGCTCAGGGCCAAGCTTCCTCAGCAAAAAGAGGAGGATTGGCATCAGATGTTAGCTCAGAGCTGATCTTCC